TTGTTAAAAATTAATTCAAAGTAAGGGAGACTTTTGTTTTGTTGTACAGAATATCGTTAGGAGAAGGATGTGAGGGAATGAGTGTTGTTTTTGAAAATAACTTGTGGGGGTGTTTTGTTTCTTTTGGAAATTAGTTATATATATAGACAGATAAGAGTAGAGATATTGAGTAAAAAGTGAGGTTTATACGTATTTTTTATTTAATGCTTAGATTTTTTTGAGGTATATAGTTTTTGAGGTATACATTGTGTTATTTTTTCATATTATTTATCATGTGTCATTTGGTTTTTGAGTTAAGACAATTTTACGGATTTTTTTCTATTTAACCTGGAATTGATTTTAATTGCTTTTTTAAATACATTTTTTTATTTGTTACTGGGATTTTGGTTTTGTTAATGATATGTCAGGGTTTAGATTGGGTAGGGTTAGTTTGCTTGGTGGAGTTTGGGGTGTTAATGAATTAGGTGGCTTTTGCTAGATGTTTTTTAATATTTGAAAGACTTTTTTATTTAATGTTTTTAAAATGGTTTTTAATAGTTTTGTTGGGTTGTTTTTTTGTACTTGGTGCATGGTAGGGGATATGGTATATTTACTGAATATTATGTTTTTTAGTTGAGGTGTTGATAAGGTTGTTTTTGAAATGAGTTTTATGGTTTGATTTAATTTTTTAGGGGCATTATGTTTTTAAAGGGCTTGTTTTTTAAGGTTAAGGATGATGTTTTGAGTAGCAGTGTGAGGTATAGGGTAGTTTTTTATTTATTGATGTATTTTTATTATTGTGAGTATGTAGTGCTTATGTATGTTTGGGGTACAGTAATGTAGCTAATTTGTTAGGTTTCTTATATTTCTATTTGGATTATTGTTTCTTAGAGGGGGTTCATTTGTTTGATTGTAGTATGTTTTAAACTCATGGCTAATGTGAAAAATATTGTTTATGGTTAAATTTATTTTTTGGTTTTGTGTTTATTTGGAGATAGTATTTTTATTTTGATGATTCAAGGTATTATGAGATTATTGAGTTAGGAACAATTTGGTTTTGTTTGGTTAATTGCAGTTTATTTTTGATCTTTTCTTTTTGTAGTTGCATGTACCTGTTTATTGCTTTGGTGGTTTTTATTAGTTGTATTTTTTGAGATATGAATATATATATGATGGATATGAATATATTATATGATGGATTTTTACAGTTAGTTTGTTTTTGTAGTGATTTCTTATTTTTTAGTAGTTTAATTTTTTTTATTGTTAATGTTAATCTTTAGTTATTTTTCTAGAGCATTGATTATTATTTATGAATTAGAAGGTAGAGATGTGGTTAGGTTGTTTTTAGTAATGCTTAGGGCTCATTGAATGGTTTTCAGTTTAGTAAGCTGTTGAGGTTTTTTTAAGCAGATTGGGTTGTGTTAGGTTTTATATAGCTTTTTGTGTTTTGTTTTACTTTTATGATGGGGTATGAATTATTAGTAAAAAGAGTGTAGTGGGGTTTTTTTGCTCCTCCTCTAATAAACAGGGTATAATTACTAATACACTTTTAAAACATGTTACTGGGATTGGGATGTAGGGTAGGCCAAAGAAAAAATAAACTAAAGCTATTTGGTACAAATTTCAGTACTTTTATAAAGTTTTTATCCATCATTATTACTGACCTTAGCATAACAGCTATAGTAATCTGTTCTCTTTTACTGTGAAAGTTATGTAGTAGGGACAGTATTGGAGTTATTTTTGGATAAGAAAATAAACTTAGGGACAAGAAAGGCATTAAAACCTCCAAAAAGCTCAGAGACTAGAACAACATAAAGGCCTCCACCCTGAGAGACATGAACTTAAGTAACACCATTACAAAGTCCTTTATCCCAGCACACAGTAAGCACCAATACAATATAATCAGCATGGGTTTTCCTTACTCTTCTGAACCCCACATTCGGCAGCAAATAATAAAATGCTTAGGAAGCTAAGACACAACTCAAAGCACTGCAGGATAACTTCACAGATGCAGACATCTTGTGTTGATCTAGGAAAAGCCTCTAGATTCCAAAGTAAAACCTATGTCACAAATTTCAAATTACAGGGGCCTGGGACTTGGCCTTTTACACCTACAGCCAGGCTGGGCAGCAGGGCAGAGCAGCTCCGGGGCAACTACACCCAGACACCCGTGACACACCAGACAACAGACGAGGGGACACAATGGGGAGACAAAACTCTGGGCCACAAGGACGGCCGCAAGGACTGAGAGAATGCGGAACGAGATGAGCCGGGTGAGAATGAAGGCGAGCTGATGAAGCTCACAGAACCCGGGAGGAAGAAGATGCTGATGGAACAATTAACTCCAGGAACTGCCAAGACAGATGCTCAAGAACCTGAGGGCCGCAGTCCCCTACCTATCTTTGCGTTTCTTCAAGTCCTAAGCCGCAACAATGGATCCTCGCGGCGCACGGCTGTTGACACAGCTCGGAAGAAGACATCTACAAGACATCCGATCGGATGTTTTTCAAAAGAGACGCGATTCCAAGGCCTCTGAGAGCAGCCGAGCCAAGGAGCCCAGAGATCGCAGATGCTATAAGTGACGCTGGGGTTTCTGGTAAGCCCCCAGAAGGGATAAGGGAAGGCACATACAACACAGGAGGCACAAAAGACACAGAAGGCACGATGGACGAGTGACACGCCACGCCCCGAGGCTGCTCTGTCCTGCACACCTCAGCACTGTGAACAAAAGTGAGGCTCTCCCACCGTGCGGCCTAAGGGGCCACAGCCTGGACCTCCCCGTCCCCAAAGCTGACTCAAATATCCCAGGTCACAAGTCCCGACCCGGCACCCCACTTTCATCCCCTCTGCGGGTCGTAGCCTTCGACTCAGCTCTCGGATGCCCGCTGGGGAGGATCCACACGGAGAGCCAAGGAAGGCCACCTGGCTATCCGGGAAGTTCCTGCCATCGCCAGGCTGTCGTCTCTCCGTCAGCTACAAAAAATAAAACAGAAAATCAGCAGCTGATCTGTGCAGGGCGTCGGCCAAAACCCGACAATTCCGCTACTCACGGTCTCCTGCGAACGGCCGTGTCCTGAGGCCGCACAATACGGCCACGCCGGGACCAGGCAGCGTCGTCGCAGGGCACGCCTGAGTTAAGAGAAGAAAAAGTGATGAGGCATTGCTGAGACTTGAACAGGCCCTCGCTCCTCCCCCCGACATCCCCAACTCACGGGAAGCCCTCGGCCCCTTCCTGAAGGCCAGCCACAAGGCCCCTTTACGTGGAAAAGGCTCCGTCACGCGGTCCCTGTGACGCTTCCGCAGGGCTCACGGGAGCGGCGAAGCAGGCGTGCCGGCCGGCTGGCGACGGGGTCTCGACGAAACGCGACTGGACCGCCTAAAGCACGCAAACAAGAAGGGACGCTTGGCGTTGCACCAGAAACTGAGAGCCCAGCGATAACAACAACCTCCCTCCACCGGTCAACGCTCACCTTGCCCGCTTCACCTTGACTGCTGCTAGATGGCTCTATTTCCTAAAAATAAAGACAAAGAGGAGACCTGTAACACAGGGACCGGTTCCAGTTGCCCTGCAAAGACAAACACTGACTTACCTTCTCGGGGGAACCCCCTTACCCTGGATGGGGCGCTCTGCCACCGATTTCATCCGTCCGCATCTGAAAGAGAGCTGAGACAAAAGTCAAAGCGCTGCAGGGTAACTTCACAGCTCCAGACATCTTGTGTTGATCTAGGAATATGTTCTAGACCCCAACTACACCCTACATCACAAATTTCAAAT